GGCCGGGGGGGGCCCGGTCCTCCGGCGCCCAGCCGCGGGTGAGCTCCTCGGGAGCGCCTTTCCTTGCAAGGGCTGTCAGGACAGGAGCCAGGCGTCGTCCGAGGAGCTGTCAGGGCAGTCGGGGGTGCTCGGTGTTTCTAAACGGGAGGAACGGGCAAGTGTAAATCCAGACGAAAAAGAAATGCAGTGGGGGGTTTTATTTTTTTTCGTGCTGCTGTGGAAGTGCTTCAATCTGAACTGTTTGTTTACCTTGAACTCTCAACTGCAGGAAATGCGCGGTTGTTTGCAATAGGAGGCGTGGGATGTAATGCTGCGCCGGTGCCTGGTATCCTGCTGTAAATGGCTACTCGATATACAGCATACTCTATATACATCCCGTAGCTGGCGAGAAAAAGAGGAAAAAAGTTAAACTGCCATCTGTACGGCTCCAAAGAAAGGAGGCTGGGGGGGGTGCGTGTGTGCTCCTTGCCAAAGGCTGTACGGTGAAACATCGGAAATCATTTACAAAATTTCCTTTTGAAGTGCTGCTTTGATTCTTTTAAGTCTTGCTGTTACGCCTGCAGGACTGTAGTGCAGCTCGAAGTTACGCACATCGATCTTTTGTTGAGTTGTTTTCTTTAAGGAAAAAAAAAAGAGAAATTGTTTAAGCAAGCGGTAAAGCAGCACATCTGCCTTCTAGCTAGCATACTTGTTATGTGAAGCTTTCAGTTGCTAAAGTACCCGTGGTTCCTGTTTTTTTCAGGTACTAAACAGGTACTCTGAACCTGATGAAAATCAGTTGGAGAGCTGTCATCTGATTTAAAAGCCAGAATATTAATGGCACGCATGAACACACACACGTGTGTGTGTGTGTATATGTGTTAGCAAAACTATGTGTCGTATTTCTAGTCTAAGGCTTGAGAGAGACAGTTTGATTGTTTTCATTTACATGCCAAGCAGTTAATTACGGAAGTAGTGACTGAGGGGAAAATAGTTCCTTTTGTTTATATTTAGAGTTACAATTTTAAAATTTATCAGCTGCGAACTTGAACCTTAATTTGTTTACATGGAACGCAAATGGAAAAAAAAACTATTTTCTTGACTTTATAAGTTGTTGGGTTTTGACATCGAGTACTTTTCAGCTCGTGAGTTACCCCAAAATGTACATTTTGCCAGCCATTCTTTAGTGAAACTAAAGAAACAAGCACGTCAATAAGGTTGAAATATGGTTCAATGAAAAAAAAAAAAAGTCCTGTTCCGTGTATCTTTATTTCTTGCATGTGAAACTTTGTCGCAAGAAAATACTTTTGCGTATCTCTATTTCCCAGACAACCCAATGCTTTCAGTAGTGCTGTTCTGTATGTTAGTACTTGTTATTTCACTTACTACTTCCAAATTGGGTGTCTGCTAAGAACACAGGGGGGGCTTGATCTCTGAAGTGCTGGTCAACTAATTCACAGTTTCTTTGTGTGTGTGCACAGAACTGAACCTTGGGAGAGAAGAATGCAGAAACTAGTGCTGAACAACTTTCTTTAGGGAATTTCAACATTGTGGCATTTGCTGGTGGCATTTTATTCCAGCTGCAGCTTTCTAGTAGGTGTGGGAATGAGTATACAGTATTTTTTAGGTTTCTTCTACAATTATCTGTCACTTCATTCCTGTTTTTCCCTGAGCTATTCTGTCTTGCCAAGTCTTCGTTCTAAGGCAATTTTTAAAAAATTTTGTGACTTGATGTAGTCTCAGTGCTTCAGTGCTCCACGTCTTAAAACGTTCATGCTGTCGGTGTGCTGCTTGACATTCAGATGAGTTTTCTTGGTTTCAGTTTTGTACTTTTAGCTTTTCTGCAATCTTTTCAAATGTTTCTGTCTTTTCGACCAAACTCTGCAGTTTGATTTCTTCAAAGAAAGACTTCTCCCATGCCAAGATGTTTCCTCCCCCTCCCCCCTTCCACAACGTAGGTGGGAAAATGTCATGCTGGCTTGGTTGCTGGTGGGGGAGCTGGGGCTTTGGGTTTTTCTCTTCGAGGCGCTGATCTTGCGCTTTCGTAGAATTCGTGTTGCTTTTGCATGAAGAGCTTGATTGTGCAGTGGTCGCCCTGAAATCAGCGGTCTACTTTTGTCCTCAGTCCAGTATCTGCTTACATTGAGGCATGTAAGTAGTTTCACTCTTGATCATATTTTTTAAACGGAGAAAACCAATTTTTCTGACCATATAGTGTTAAAAAGAGGGAAAAATAAGGCAAAGTGTTTACACAGTGACTTTAACAAAACCAGAAAGGGCCGACCTGTCAGACTCCTCTGACTGACAGCATTGCTGTATGTGACAGCCCTGTGGGAAGGCAGGGTTTAGTGTTCTTTTCTGGCCTGCTGGAAAGGACCGTTACTAATAAGTTATGCAGGAGAATCTATCTCTGTTAGCCCAAAACCACAAAGATGAGTCTTGTCTCTTAAAATCCTGTCTACTATATTTAATTCTTGCAGCAGACTTTATGTAGGTATTACTTTAATATTCTGGAAAGAATTCACATACATAGTCCAGCTCTGAAATTTACATGAATTTTATCAGTGTTAGAAAAGCTCAGCTTTGTTGGGGAAAACAGGTTGTCAGACCAGGAGAAGGCATGGGATAGCACTAGTGGTCTTATTCATAAAGACGGTATAAAAAGCAAACTTAGTGTGCACGACTATTTGTAAAAGAATCTCATTAGCAGCCTATGAATAGACTGCCTTTTGGAAGGAATGAATGTTATGGATGCTAGCAAGCTGAAAAAGTTCAGCAAGCCATTATTTTTGTGATCTGTTGACCATGGCACACAAGGGATCTCGACCTCCCGTAACACACTATGGCTGGTACTTAATCTGGGCATTACTGAATGGGTGCCCAGAGGTCACGGCACCTGAAATTCTTCAGTATGGTTAGTACGGACCGGAGACAACTCTTAAATAAATTGAAGGAGACTGATTAATATGGGCTTGTAAAACTGCGTACACTCTATTAGTTTGACCACAGCTGGCTCAACCTTTTTTGTATTACAGAACAAGACCTACTCAACACATGCAATGCTGGCTGTGTGCTTAGAGAGTTATTATAGCTCTTATGCTGGTATCAGTATTGTAACATTTTAAAAGGCACCAGCCGTGGGCTAATTAACCAAACAAAGCCACTTTTTGTTAAATCTTTTAACTATAGTTTTTATCTAAGTACCAGATGAAAATGAAAGCTTCTTTCCTATCCAGCTGCGACTTTTTACCTTTTTCCCTTCCTTTGTGGTGTCATGTCATCGCATTTTAGGGTTCCCTCAATCTAATGCTTATTCTAACCTAGACATCTTTTCTAAATTGAGTTACCTATTCTTGTGTATTTCAGAACTGTAAAAATGGAGAAATAATAGCATATTCAAGGATAATAGCTGGAATATAATCTTTTGGGTTCTATCCAGAGTTGTCTAAATCACTTTGGATTTTGTAGGGTGGTTTACTTACCTGTAAAACACAGAATCGCAGACCTTGATATTGTATGGTCTAGGCCAGGTCCACAGTATGCATGCATTTGTAACGGCATAGCTTGTCTCGCTTGGCACAGCCTGGATATTTGACAAATCCTTGATACTGCTCGGTTACATCTGGCAAGTACTGCGCATAATGATATGGGTGCTCGGTGCTATTTAGCCCTCCTAGTCAGTGACATCGTGGGCACCAACACCCCAGATCAAATATAATCACTTCCTGACGCATTGTTTGTTTGTAGATGATCTCTCTCAACTAGAGATAGTCGAAAGAAAGATGGTAAAAGCATAACACAAGAATGAATCACTGTCTTTTTAATTTTGGTTAGTCAGAGCCTGCCTGTTTGTTTTAGGTAAATGCATTTTATAGGAGAAAGCAAATACAGCAGCTTTGAACAAATACATGCTACGATGTTAAAGGATGTAAGCCAGTGCTAGCCAAATTTTTAAATTATTTTTTGAATCCATGGATTAGAAAGATCCATTCAAAATGCAGTTTTTTATAAAGTTTGCAGCAACTGAGGTAGATATCTGATGGTATTTCTGTCCTACAAAGAAATAAAATTCTGCCTTTCCAGGTCGCTCTTTTTATTTCAGATGTGGTTGATGACATGTTAAAATGTACTTGGTGATATATTATTGTAGAAAGAGCACTGGTATAATGGGGCTTGCCTGAGCACAGAGGTGCAGTAATTTAATTAAAGGCGTGGTTTAATTAAGGGTTTGAGTTGTATAAGGGCTCATTTGTCTGAACTGTTGGCACTGTGTAAACATAATAAATTGAAGTGAACTTTGCATTTCTGCACCCGTATGCTTAGGGATAGAATTAATAGGAGCATTTTAGAATCATAGAATCACAGAATGGGTTGGCTTGGAAGGGACCTTCAAAGATCATTTAGTCCAACCCCCCCTGCCATGGGCAGGGACACCTTCCACCTGATCACGTTGCTCAAAGCCCCATCCAACCTGGCCTTGAACACTTCCAGGGATGGGGCATCCACAGCTTCTCTGGACAACCTGTCCCGTTTTAAGTTGTGTTTGTATCCAAATGCTGTAACAGTGTCTTTTAACTAAATCAGTGCTCCTTTGAAAAAAAAAAAAAACAGGCCCAATCTAAAGTGTAGCTAGTATGCTTCAGTCCTGAGCCAGAAGGTACTGGGAATATAAACGGTGGCATTCAGGCCATTTAGTTTGTAGGTGGAACTGCTGTTGATGATGCCAATTGTGGCTCCACCTGCCCGCCTGCCTTTGTATGTTTGATGGGACATGATCTTAACCTCAGGTATGGGTTTGATATACTGACAACCTGTAAAAGTGATACAGTTGGGTATTTATAACCTGTAACTTACACCTTTTTTTTTTTTTTTTCTTTTAGTTGCAGATTGAAATATCATGGACAGAAAATAGTTTGGATGATGTGTCTTGCCAGTGTATCTCTGCAATTTCGATTTTAACAATGGATAAGTGTAAGCACATAGGACGTCTGCGGCTGGCCCAAGATCACTCCATCCTGAATCCTCAGAAATGGCATTGCATGGACTGCAATACTACGGAATCTGTGTGGGCGTGCCTCAGCTGCTCACATGTGGCGTGTGGAAGATACATTGAAGAACATGCACTAAAGCACTTTCAGGACAGCAGTCACCCAGTGGCATTGGAGGTAAATGAGCTGTATGTTTTCTGTTATCTCTGCGATGATTATGTTCTTAATGATAACGCAACTGGTGATCTAAAACTGCTGCGAAGTACGTTAAGTGCAATCAAGAGCCAAAACTATGAGTGCACTACTCGAAGTGGGAGGACTTTGCGTTCTATGGGTACAAGTGATGATTCTTACCTTTCACATGGTGGTGCCCAAGCCATGCTTCGGAATGAAGATCGCATGTTCACAGCTCTCTGGCACCGGCGGCGTGCGTTCCTGGGCAAAATATTCAGATCATGGCTTGAGTTGACACCTACTGGAAAAAAGATTTTGGAAGAAGAAAGGCGTCAGGAAGAAGCAGAGGAAAGAAGGGACAAAGCTAGGAAGAGAAGACAAGAGCGAAAGCGTGAGTTGAAAGCAGAGATGGAAAAGATGCCTCCAAGAAAGAGCAGTCGTTTACAAAGTCAGATTAGAACGTCCTCAGAAACAGCACCCTGCCTGCAAAAAACGTCACAGAATGTGGAATCTGTGACAGAGTTGAAAAAAACTTATACCTCAGATGAAGTAAGATTGAAAAAAATAAGTGACTCTCCAATTAAACGAAGACCCACGGTGACTCCTGGGGTAACAGGACTGAGAAACCTGGGAAATACATGTTATATGAATTCTGTCCTGCAGGTATTAAGTCACTTACTTATTTTTCGAGAATGCTTTTTAAAGCTTGATCTCAACCAAACTCAGGAACTGCTGGCAACAGCAACCAATGGTAAAACCAGATCTTCATCTAAACACCTGTCTATAGCTGCCTCAACTTTACATGTGAATGAGAACCAAGAGAAAGTAAAGGGATCATCTTCTGTGAGGCGGCCTAGTTTTTCCTCTGGATTAAGTGGAGGAGCATCAAAAAGTAGAAATATGGAACTTATTCAGCCCAGGGAGCCCAGTTCAAAGCATATTTCTCTCTGTCATGAGCTGCATACACTGTTCCAAGTTATGTGGTCTGGCAAATGGGCGCTGGTGTCTCCTTTTGCCATGCTTCATTCTGTCTGGAGACTAATTCCAGCCTTCAGAGGATATGCCCAACAAGATGCTCAGGAATTTCTCTGTGAACTTTTGGATAAAGTGCAGCAGGAACTGGAGACTACAGGGACCAGATACCCAGCTCTCATCCCTGCTTCTCAAAGAAAACTTATAAAACAGGTTTTGAATGTAGTTAACAACGTTTTTCATGGACAGCTATTAAGTCAGGTATGTTTTATAATTTTTTTCTTTTTAAGGTGTGTGATGATTTGTAGTTACGGATTTATACTGGTCAGTGATGGGCATACTTCAGAGGTTAATACATTAATAACTCTTGCGGAGGGGTGGGGAATACACAAAAAAATTTCAGAAGAATGGTCATTTGGGTACTCCTAAAACTGTCAGCAGATGAATCACCCGATAAACAGGAAAGTGTTAAATTTGGTATGTTAAAGCACTCCTTTGCAACTACTGAGAAATATCTGACTTTGCTATTAAGCACCAACTAATTTGCAGGAACAAAGAATTTACAGTTTTAAGCATCTAGCTTATCACTATAGTGATACTAGATAAAAGGTGTTAAGGAAGGTGTTAATCTCATCTAAGTGGAAACTGATTAGGTAATGCATGCCAAGCAGGGAATTATTTCGATAAATAGCTTGAATTTGAGATTCATTACTACAGAGTAGCTGCCTGTCATGATGCTATGTGCAGGAATACTACTTTTCTGTTACAACACAAAGATATAGAAGGCTCTGACACCACAGGAACCAAATTTGTGGCGTAGAGGCAACGGTTGTTTTCCTTTTTTTCTGCCTTACTACTCTCCTTTTTTTCTGCTTCTCGGCTTCCTGTTAAGTACTTCAATGTACTTACTATTAATGCATATCCCAACTGTGTGAGTGTACAAACGTCTTGAGAACTGCCTGAACAAGCAAATGCTGGGTTCTGTTGAATTCATCTAAAACCTAACCACACTGCAGCAGGAACAGAGGTTGAGAAAGTCTTGGCCCCCTGAAACTGGTCTTTAATATGCATGCACGTTACTGAGGGAGTGCAGAAACATTTAATGGATATGTTGTGTAAAGGAGTAGAGGTTTAACACAAATTAACAGGAATGTGGATGTCTGATTATTCTGACTATTCAATTGATGGTTTAATGTTTTAATATGTGAAGCTAGAAATCCAAGTGGTTTTTGACTAAGGTAGGATTGTTTACTGCTATGATATCTATAAACTTTATAATAAGATAACAGGACTTTTAAAATTAGGATTGTTTGCAGCTTTTAGGTCACCTTAGGTTTTGCATAACTACTGGAAACTGTTATATCTACCAGTAAGATCAGGTCATCCTCTACATTCCATTTGGCGCAGGGCAAGAATATTTCTGTTGGCATACTTACTTTCCTCGGGGTACTTAATATATCTTGCATCAGGGGTGTCTACTATATTACGTCATTAAAGCTTTATATTTGAAAATCATATTCCTTTCCAAAATAGTAACTTTGTTAGTAGAACAAAGTTAATTGCTTAAATATATTGACAAGGCCTGGTTGCATTCCAAGCCTTCTAATGGCTTTGATTTTTTGGAAGAATTTTGAAGGCTCTGAAGACACTACGCATTATTTCAGCACCACCACTTCTTTTACATGTTTTTAGCTTTGTTAAGTGAAGAGGCTTGTGACTAGAAACTCTCCCACCTTCCTGAAACCGGGGGTGGGGAATAGTGAGAATTCACTCAAGTGTCATTGAGTAAGACTGAAAGGGAATTAAACAGTTTTGAGCTATCCTGTGACTTCTGTGACTACAAAACACAGCTCTCTTACTGCAGCTGGTTAACGTCAGTGTGCAAAATACATCCTTGATGGAACTTCAGAATGCCTCAAGTGAGAGGAACAAGGAAAAGAGTATTGAGGCTGTTATCTGTAGTAATTTTCCCCTGGCTCATTAGGCAGTTCCCACAGACAAGTGACCAACACTACCTCCTAATGTTCCCTTTGTCTTCTGCCACTCCTTTGTTCCAGTTTAGTCTTCACTAGCACGTTTAACATGATAAATATTAAAAGCAAAAGGTAACCCCCTGAAGATTTACGTTTTCTCCTTGATAAAATTTATTCAGGTCATTTTAATGATTCAGACCCTGGTGTTTGCACATGGAAGGATGAGCTTTAAAAACTCTATTAGGCAATTACTTTCCTCTCCTCAGTAAGATTCCAGCACCATGATTTCACTAGGCATTTGTCAGAACTGGCACAAAAACTTCCATTCAGGGCTGAAGAAAAATATGAAAGACTTCTTGCTATGTCACCACATCTTAAAAGCTTTGCCCTTGTGTGCTTAATTTCACCTATAAGCTGTAACAGTAATACAGTTCATCTCTAGAAGATAGCTGGAGCCATAGCCTGCTGCATTTATTAAAAATAGGATGGGATTTTAGTCTAAAGTATTTTATAAACTACATCTTAATTCAGTGAATAAGGGGAACTGAGAAGCTTGTTTCTGTGCAGCAGTTGCCTTCTGGTTTAGGATCACTAAAGTTATTATTTATTATTCCTTTGTAGTGGAAATATTAGTTAAAGATACATGATTCTGTGAGATACTCAAGTGCAGCGAAGTCAACCTTCTTGACCTTCAAACCTCAGGAATACTATGAACTACTCTTGAGACAGTACACAGAGGATCACTTACAATGCAGATAAGCTGTGTGTTTTCTTAGGTTTCAAATTACTTTCACATGTGCAATAAAACATTTTCCCTCTTCATGCTGTTCTATTTTAACTTGAATGAAAGTCATAATTCTGAGTTTGCCATCAGTCTGTTGCTACTGAAATGGCTGCCTGGTTCAGCGCTGCAACTGAATTTAGAAGATAAGACTAAGAAATGAGAAAATTGGGTGTGTGAGATTTTATGCAGGTTACTTTTTGATATCTAGAAAGAGCTTTAGGTGATGCCAAAATTATCGCACCTTCTATATGAGTTAGTTGGTTTGGTTTTGTTATGTTTTCAGTTGTTTTAAAGTTTTCCTCATCTACTGCTTAAAATCTTTTAGTATTTTATGGATACTAAACTAGGTAATGAGTAACTCCAGGAACAGCATGAGTAGATTGCCTCTTGACTTTTTTTTTTAGCTTTGTTTTTATTTATTCTAGTATCCTTTAATACCCAGTACATCTAAGGAAAGTAGAGGTAGGATATATAGCTACAAAACCCTTCCCCTCTATTTTTTCTTTTTCACATGCTAATCTTCCTCCAGTGGTTGCCTGGAGAAAGTTGTGCTATAGCACTTACTGTGTGAAGGAGTCTGTATCTTGTAAACCTATGCTTTCAGAGGCAGATCTGCTGGAACATGGCTCATCCCTCTCAACCCAGTTGGGACTGTAAGCAGATGCCAACATGTCTATTAAAATGTCAGTTGTTTTCAGTCCCTCCGTGCTCATACTCCTGTGGAAGGTACCCACTCTCTTCGATCCTTCAGTGGGAAAGGAGAAGACACTGCACTGTGAAGTTATGTGCCAGTGGTTAAACTGACTCATACTGATCCACAGATCTTTGAAGTACACTTCAAGAGCTCGAGTAGGTTAGCTACCGTGTCTCTCAAGAGGGTTTTTTTTTGCCTTCTGTTTTCTTTAAATGGGCCCAGCTAAATAGCACAGTATGCAACCGTTTTAAAAGTATATTTATTTCAAACTTTGTCCATATTAAGCAAGGAAGTGGGTAGGTGTATTTGTAAAAATACAGAAATTGAAATATCAGATTTTAGCTTCCAAAGTAAATGTATATTTTCAGCACTGCTTTGGGAAAATTGTGTCCCACAGGCCCACAGAAATCATACTAGCAGAAACTCTGGTGTGCATAGTTACACCAGTATTAAAATTTTTGTCAGGATGATTTATACCAGGGGGAGGCAGAGAGGGAAACTAGTATGAAGTATTTGTGAAAGCTGGTCTAGACAATCTAGCTGATCTAGGAAGCTAGCCTAGCAGATCTAGGAAATGTGCAGATATTTATGCTGGCAAAATCTTATCTGTGGACATAGCTTTTACCTCTTGAACGTCAGCTTTTTAACTAAATTGGTTTACCCTTAGCATGATGTTGAGTACACAGGTTTTGATTGCTTGAAAGTTAGAGGGCCATTTTAGATCGTATTTTTGAAGATTTTAGTATTCACAAAAAGTCTGAGTCAGGACTATCAAGACATCAAAAATGGTGAAAGAATAGAAATGTGGCTGATTTGGAGGCACTCCTGACATTGCAGTATAGCGCATATACATCCCAAATGAATTGCCCAATATAACTGTCCCGTGGTTCAACCCATACAGTACAAAGCTTTCTGGAACTAAGAAGGGGTAGTTACTAAGGAAAAGAGATACTGGATGCTTCATATATATCTTGTGCTTTTGGGCCACTATGTTGGTAAAACTTCTACCACTGTTTTGGTAAAACCTTAAAAACTTTCTAAAATTCAAAATAAGCCTCTTGTCATGAGAATTACCAGGAAAAATGTCTTTTCTGTAACACAGACAGGATGATTCCCAATATTTTTACCTACTCTTAAATAATGCCAAAATAATCATTCAGATTATTCAATTTCCTAGCAGTCTTAATTTTTTGTGTGAAGAGATGTGAAGGTATATTTGAGTCTACTAATAACAAAATAACCTGTCTAAAATAGTCACTAAAGATCAAGTTATTATTTTAGAAAGCTTTTTTGTTACCAAACATTGTGTGTCTTCCTTCAGTTGCTCAGCTTTTATTCTTCATTTTTGTGATAACTTCCTGACGGTTAAGTTCACGTGCACTTGTGCACATGCACACACAAAATTGTTGGAAAAGGTTGGAAAAGACCTCTGGAAATCCTCTTGTCCAATTCTGCTTAAAACAGGGTCAGCTACAACAGGTTGCCCAGGGCTGTGTGCAGGCAGCTTTTCAGTAGCACCAAGGATGGAGACACCACAACCTCTCCAGGCAGCCTGTGCCAGCGCTAGACCATCCTGACAGTGAAAACAGTTTCTTCCTCTGTCTGAACGGCACCTCCCGTGTGTCAGCTTGTGCCCATTTCCCCTTATCCTGTCGCTGGGCACCTCTGAGAAGAGCCTGGCTCCGTCTGCTTTGCTGCCCCCCGCCGTCAGGTGGGATGGGTACGCACACGGGTAGGATCCCCCTGAGCTGCCCTTCTCCAGGCTGAGCGCTCCCAGCTCTCTCAGCCTCTTCCCGTCTGTCAGATGCTCTGAGCCCTTTCCTCACCTGTGGAGCCCCTTGCTGGACTCTCTCCACTAAGTCCATCTCTTGTACTGGGAACTGCAGCAGTGGGCCCAGCCCTCCAGCTGTGTCTCACCACAGCTGAGGAGACTCCAGCCTGTCCCAGTCCCTCTGGGTGGCAGCAAGACCCTCTGGTCTGTCAGCCACTCTTGCCTAGGTTTGTGTCATCTGCCAGCTTGCTGAGAATTCAGAAGAATTGGCTGCAGTATTGACCCCTGGGGTACACCACTAGTGGCTGGGCTCCAGCAGCATTTCATGCTGCTGACAACAACCCGTTGAACCTGGCAGCTCATTCAGTTTTCAGTCCACCTTGCTGTCCCATTTATCTAGCCAGCACTTCATTTTTTTCTGTGAGGATCTTATGGGATACAGTGTTGAAAGCCTCACTGAAGTCAAGATAAATAACATCTGCTGTTTTCCACTCATCCACTGGTTATCTGTACCAGTCATCTCATTGTAGGAGGAAGGCTATGGTGTTGTTCAAGCATGATTTTCCCATCGTAAATCCATGGTGGCTGCTCCCAGTCATCATTGTATTCTTAACATCTTTGGAAATAGTTTCCATGTTTTGCTCCATCAGCCTTCCCACAGATGAAAGTGATGCTGACTGCCTTGTAGTTCCCCAGATCCTCCTCCTTGGAAGACAGGAGTGTCACTTGCTTTCTTCCTGCCCTCCCCTTGTTGCCATGACCTTGCCAGGACTGGATGAAAACCAGCCTTGCAACAGAATCAGCCAGCTCCCTCTATTCTCACAGTTTAATCAGGGATAGCTTCTAATTCAAGACAAGCAGAAGGAGAAGGGCAATCAGTATTTTCTGTGGCTAAAAAAGACCCAGTAAGGAAGGGGAAAAAATAAGGTTTGTGCTGATTTATGTGAAAGCAGCTTGGGTACCTAATTTGAGGAAGAAAATGGATGTTGAATTATGAATATAATATTTTACTGAACTGGCACATATCGCAAAGCAGTAAGTAGTTGTTGATTTCTTTATAGACTGTTGTTGAGTAAATTCAAATTTAATGCAAGTGATCAAAGAAATACGTAGACAATGTCATTTTAACATCTTTTTTGAGTGGTGAGGAACCCTTTAGAAACTATTTGGGGTGGGTTTTGCAAGTCTTCTGAGGATTCCACTGCTTTTAGATCTGGTGCCTTAGGTAAAAGCTCTTTAAATTTCTGTTACAGCAACACCAAACGTAGCAGTGCAAGTGAAGAGCAGTGGCTGGGCCGATTCAGTAATGAGTTTCCTCTGCAGCGAAGTTTTGATTAGTTTCCGTTTCTTCTTAGGACAAACCTGTCTTGGGCTGTGAGGGTTTTTCCCAGTAATTCACCATTTATCATAGCAATGCCTAGTAAGAACTAGCTTCTGATATCTCTAGGCATACTGAAAAAAAAAAAACCCCAAATGGTTTGATTATTTCCTGATCATGTTTAAGATGGAATCTGAGCAAAATGCCTCCCCCAGCCTGGCTCAGCATGGCAGAATAACAGTGTGCAGTGCTCAGAGAAATGAATGGAGTCAAGTAGGTTCTAACCAATGTATTATGTAAACTGTGTTTAAAGTTTTCAAAGGCAGTGCCTCTCCTTGCAAGTCTTGCACCATTTACTTGCGCAACCGGTGTCTTTCAGGACAGATTGGCTGAGTGAAGGGGAAATGTGCAATCTTTGGGTTGTTTGAAGCCCTTCAGTTTTGGGTAGTATGCTGTGAGTTAAAGTTTGGGGAGAATGCTGAGGGTGACTTGTGCTGTGCTGAGTATTAAGTCTCTCGCTCAATAAATAGACTGTTAAAAACTATGAGAACTTCAGGTGGTTAATAGGAGGATTTGCACTTAAACCAATCCATGACCTGTATACTGATTTCTGTATTCTGGTATTAGTCTCTGTGCTTTTATGTGTAGCCTGAATCACAAAACGGTTGTCGGGTTGCTTTCCAGCTAGATGAAGGTGAGTTGTCGGTGTGCTTTCCAGCTAGATGAAGGTGACATCTTAAGTTAATCTATAGGAGGCCATTGAATCACGGACCATGGTTTGCTGTGGTTATGCTTATGTTATTCTGTTGAATAGATACAGATAATTTTGGTGATGCTGTATGCTCATCACTACAAAGTTTAGGTTTTTTTATAACTGAAGAAATACAGTATGGACTGTCATGTAGTATTCCATATTATAGCAGTATTCTAGAAATCCCCTTCAACTTCGATTCCTTTGCTGTGGAAAAATTAAAAATTCAATATATGTCTCATATAGTGAAAACTTAAGTAGCAGAAGCACAAAAATGGGTCTGGCCGTGTAACTATTCTTAAAAACCAACAAAGAATCAGAGTAGGGGTGGTAACAGTTGCCTTCCTTCCATGCAAGTGGAGGGAATGTAGGCAAAACAGTTGATGATGGAGCTGGCTTCTTCTGCAGCAATATGTTAACTATTCTCTTTGGCTGCATTTAGGCTGAATGCCATCGGGGCAGTGGCTGTCCATCAAATTGTTGTGGGCACAATGATGCTTGCCTGAGCGGCCTCCATGCTTAGCTTAAATCAAGCAATTTGATCCAGCTCTTTTCAGTCTGGCCTTTGGCCCATGATTGAATACTGTGCTTTAACCAAACAATTGGATATAGTACCCGTGTTTCAAGGCATGAGAGGGTGGTCAGGGCAGAACATAAGGTAAGAGTTTTCAGACTAACTAAAAACAGTAAAGTACTTTCTTTGCTCTGACTTAAACTTCTCATGTAGCTGTGTTATAAATGACAGCATTAAGGCTTCCTAACATAACATTCTGTAATATAGGAATATAACGAGGAGGTGAAATCAAACTCTGAATTTGTAAAATATAGTCATAAAGAGATACACGTCACTAACGAGATTGCTAGTGCAGACTCACTTCCCTATCTCTGTTGTGCATACTCATACCATAAAAAAGTTACATTGGACAGATACATAAAATTTTTGCCAGCCCTTGAGTTCATGTTTGGGGTTTTTTTTTTGGTTTGTTTTTGTTTTTTTTTTTATAAAAACCTCGTATCTTGTTCAACCAACTTTTGAGCGATTTATACAATTTCAGTGGTTTTCATGAAAAATCTGTGTTGTACTGTGAATAGCAGTGGAGCATGAGATAAAGGAGTCCCATTTAGGACAGAAAGAGAAGAGGTGGGAGTGTTGTGTAGCCTGCGCTGATGGATTCCACAGAAGGGTAGGGATCCTCCTACTCGTTGAGTAATCCAATTTGTAAGCTCAGGCCTGGCTAAGAAAAACACTTCCAACCTTTGTTCCAGCCCTGACTTACCTCTCATTTACCGTTGCATGAGAGCGTGCACAGGAGCAGTTGGCGCACTACGGCCGACACGGGTGGGTGTACGCTTATCCGAATGCGTCAGGTGACTCGGCTGTTGGCAAGTATGCAGATCCCAGATAACTCTGAAGAGTTCGACTCTGCTGCAGCGTCATGGTGAGGAGGAGCATCTTGCATTTGAGGAAATAAGTGCGGCTCTGTATCAGTACAGGATTTTGTCAACACAAATCAGCTTGCTCACAGTTGCACGACGAGATGAGAAGCAGCGCTGTCGCACCAGTTTTATCTTTTTTTGGTTTTTTGAGAGGCAAAAATTGGAAGCTGGATCTTTTTCTTTGGGATAGTCCTTGTTAACTAGTTGGGAAAGAGGATCTTAAAAAAACCTTAGATTGTTAACATTAACACTAAATTTAAAACCTCAGAACTTGTTAAAATTATCTGTACTGAGTTCACGCGTGTACTTCATCCTGAGCCTGTTAATCTTCAGTGTGCATTCATGCGCAACAAACTCTCAAGTAACTCGTCAATTAAATAAAATTTTGGCCCAACAAAATCGCCCATTTGTACAGCAGAAATCTATTAGTCATTCTGTGTTATGCTGGAGTTAGCTTGAACTGAGGCCAAACATATCATTTTGTCTCCAAGTCCAGATTCCAGCTCTGAATTACTAATAGTTTGTGGCTTTGAAACATTGCCAGATGTTAGCACTTACAAAAGAAGCTCCTGTCAGTGTAAATTAAACCAGAAGATTCTCCTCTTTTTTGCCATGTAAGTTCAAAGTTTTGTTTTCTAAGAACAAGGTAGTGGCGTTTTCTTCTTCACAGAACTTAAAGCAGCTGACAGCTCTCCTAACTCCACTGCTAAACATGTATGCTGGTACACAAAGACACATGGGCATTAGGTAGCTAATGCATAGAACTTGTATAAGCTGTTGTAGCTAATGAATGCATTAAATAAATACTCACAAGCACACCTAGGAGGAAGGTACCGTAAGGTGACAGATCTGTGCTTACACAAATGATCATGAAATAACAGACAAAGCAGGGTGAATAATTGCGTAACAGCAAACCTTCGGAGGAAAACAAAGGTCTTGAGCAAAACTGAGTCTATTTTTACACTTGTGTAGGCTTACTAACCTAACTGAAGAGAACCACACTGAATCTATGTAGACACATAGGCGTGCCTGTGAAATAGCAATATTTGGATCCCACGTGGATTTTCATTCCTTTATTACTACGTCTTTGTATTAGTTGTTCCAAACAACTTGTGGTATTTTCCTAAATGGGAACTATGCTTAGAGGGGTTTCATTTGGCAACTGTTTACTCTTGTGGTGCAAACTTCAGGAGATATTTGATACTCCATTTACTGTAAAACGTGAATGGTGGTATCTCATCACACCCGGCTGATCCATAACAGTGTCTTGACAGTCGCTCCTCTATGAAAATTTTGAGTTCCTTTAATCTTTTTGGTGGGAAAGTTTAATTGTTGGGGAACGGGGTGGGAACATGTTGGGATGCTTATGGAAGATCTTTCAAAGCTATCTATCTGAGCCCAGTCAAAATTCAACTTGTTTTCAGAATGCACCTTTTTTAGAGCAGTGAGGTTAGAGCTGCTTGAGTTAGTGATCCACTGCAACTTATAAGCTGATAAATGCATTAAGAGTAGAAAATTCAGGTAATTACTCTCAGGATCACATTGTACCTTGTTGCATTCAGCATACCAGGGTGAACATATCTTTAGTCTCATGCACACACACTTGATATTTACTGGTATTTTAGAGCCTTTATGAGCTGTGCTTGTTACAGTCTAAATGGAGTTTCACTGCAGCGTAGGTTGGACCATGGAAGTGTGGAGGTCCTTTGGAGGAAGACTCAGATGATGTGATGCTCTACTCCTTGTTGCCATGACCTTGCCAGGACTGGATGAAAACCAGCCTTGCAACAGAATCAGCCAGCTCCCTCTATTCTCACAGTTTAATCAGGGATAGCTTCTAATTCAAGACAAGCAGAAGGAGAAGGGCAATCAGTATTTTCTGTGGCTAAAAAAGACCCAGTAAGGAAGGGGAAAAAATAAGGTTTGTGCTGATTTATGTGAAAGCAGCTTGGGTACCTAATTTGAGGAAGAAAATGGATGTTGAATTATGAATATAATATTTTACTGAACTGGCACATATCGCAAAGCAGTAAGTAGTTGTTGATTTCTTTATAGACTGTTGTTGAGTAAATTCAAATTTAATGCAAGTGATCAAAGAAATACGTAGACAATGTCATTTTAACATCTTTTTTGAGTGGTGAGGAACCCTTTAGAAACTATTTGGGGTGGGTTTTGCAAGTCTTCTGAGGATTCCACTGCTTTTAGATCTGGTGCCTTAGGTAAAAGCTCTTTAAATTTCTGTTACAGCAACACCAAACGTAGCAGTGCAAGTGAAGAGCAGTGGCTGGGCCGATTCAGTAATGAGTTTCCTCTGCAGCGAAGTTTTGATTAGTTTCCGTTTCTTCTTAGGACAAACCTGTCTTGGGCTGTGAGGGTTTTTCCCAGTAATTCACCATTTATCATAGCAATGCCTAGTAAGAACTAGCTTCTGATATCTCTAGGCATACTGAAAAAAAAAAAAACCCAAATGGTTTGATTATTTCCTGATCATGTTTAAGATGGAATCTGAGCAAAATGCCTCCCCCAGCCTGGCTCAGCATGGCAGAATAACAGTGTGCAGTGCTCAGAGAAATGAATGGAGTCAAGTAGGTTCTAACCAATGTATTATGTAAACTGTGTTTAAAGTTTTCAAAGGCAGTGCCTCTCCTTGCAAGTCTTGCACCATTTACTTGCGCAACCGGTGTCTTTCAGGACAGATTGGCTGAGTGAAGGGGAAATGTGCAATCTTTGGGTTGTTTGAAGCCCTTCAGTTTTGGGTAGTATGCTGTGAGTTAAAGTTTGGGGAGAATGCTGAGGGTGACTTGTGCTGTGCTGAGTATTAAGTCTCTCGCTCAATAAATAGACTGTTAAAAACTATGAGAACTTCAGGTGGTTAATAGGAGGATTTGCACTTAAACCAATCCATGACCTGTATACTGATTTCTGTATTCTGGTATTAGTCTCTGTGCTTTTATGTGTAGCCTGAATCACAAAACGGTTGTCGGGTTGCTTTCCAGCTAGATGAAGGTGACATCTTAAGTTAATCTATAGGACGCCATTGAATCACGGACCACGGTTTGCTGTGGTTATGCTTATGTTATTCTGTTGAATAGATACAGATAATTTTGGTGATGCTGTATGCTCATCACTACAAAGTTTAGGTTTTTTTATAACTGAAGAAATACAGTATGGACTGTCATGTAGTATTCCATATTATAGCAGTATTCTAGAAATCCCCTTCAACTTCGATTCCTTTGCTGTGGAAAAATTAAAAATTCAATATATGTCTCATATAGTGAAAACTTAAGTAGCAGAAGCACAAAAATGGGTCTGGCCGTGTAACTATTCTTAAAAACCAACAAAGAATCAGAGTAGGGGTGGTAACAGTTGCCTTCCTTCCATGCAAGTGGAGGGAATGTAGGCAAAACAGTTGATGATGGAGCTGGCTTCTTCTGTAGCAATATGTTAACTATTCTCTTTGGCTGCATTTAGGCTGAATGCCATCGGGGCAGTGGCTGTCCATCAAATTGTTGTGGGCACAATGATGCTTGCCTGAGCGGCCTCCATGCTTAGCTTAAATCAAGCAATTTGATCCAGCTCTTTTCAGTCTGGCCTTTGGCCCATGATTGAATACTGTGCTTTAACCAAACAATTGGATATAGTACCCGTGTTTCAAGGCATGAGAGGGTGGTCAGGGCAGAACATAAGGTAAGAGTTTTCAGACTAACTAAAAACAGTAAAGTACTTTCTTTGCTCTGACTTAAACTTCTCATGTAGCTGTGTTATAAATGACAGCATTAAGGCTTCCTAACATAACATTCTGTAATATAGGAATATAACGAGGAGGTGAAATCAAACTCTGAATTTGTAAAATATAGTCATAAAGAGATACACGTCACTAACGAGATTGCTAGTGCAGACTCACTTCCCTATCTCTGTTGTGCATACTCATACCATAAAAAAGTTACATTGGACAGATACATAAAATTTTTGCCAGCCCTTGAGTTCATGTTTGGGGTTTTTTTTTTGGTTTGTTTTTGTTTTTTTTTTTATAAAAACCTCGTATCTTGTTCAACCAACTTTTGAGCGATTTATACAATTTCAGTGGTTTTCATGAAAAATCTGTGTTGTACTGTGAATAGCAGTGGAGCATGAGATAAAGGAGTCCCATTTAGGACAGAAAGAGAAGAGGTGGGAGTGTTGTGTAGCCTGCGCTGATGGATTCCACAGAAGGGTAGGGATCCTCCTACTCGTTGAGTAATCCAATTTGTAAGCTCAGGCCTGGCTAAGAAAAACACTTCCAACCTTTGTTCCAGCCCTGACTTACCTCTCATTTACCGTTGCATGAGAGCGTGCACAGGAGCAGTTGGCGCACTGCGGCCGACACGGGTGGGTGTACGCTTATCCGAATGTGTCAGGTGACTCGGCTGTTGGCAAGTATGCAGATCCCAGATAACTCTGAAGAGTTCGACTCTGCTGCAGCGTCATGGTGAGGAGGAGCATCTTGCATTTGAGGAAATAAGTGCGGCTCTGTATCAGTACAGGATTTTGTCAACACAAATCAGCTTGCTCACAGTTGCACGACGAGATGAGAAGCAGCGCTGTCGCACCAGTTTTATCTTTTTTTGGTTTTTTGAGAGGCAAAAATTGGAAGCTGGATCTTTTTCTTTGGGATAGTCCTTGTTAACTAGTTGGGAAAGAGGATCTTAAAAAAACCTTAGATTGTTAACATTACACACTAAATTTAAAACCTCAGAACTTGTTAAAATTATCTGTACTGAGTTCACGCGTGTACTTCATCCTGAGCCTGTTAATCTTCAGTGTGCATTCATGCGCAACAAACTCTCAAGTAACTCGTCAATTAAATAAAATTTTGGCCCAACAAAATCGCCCATTTGTACAGCAGAAATCTATTAGTCATTCTGTGTTATGCTGGAGTTAGCTTGAACTGAGGCCAAACATATCATTTTGTCTCCAAGTCCAGATTCCAGCTCTGAATTACTAATAGTTTGTGGCTTTGAAACATTGCCAGATGTTAGCACTTACAAAAGAAGCTCCTGTCAGTGTAAATTAAACCAGAAGATTCTCCTCTTTTTTGCCATGTAAGTTCAAAGTTTTGTTTTCTAAGAACAAGGTAGTGGCGTTTTCTTCTTCACAGAACTTAAAGCAGCTGACAGCTCTCCTAACTCCACTGCTAAACATGTATGCTGGTACACAAAGACACATGGGCATTAGGTAGCTAATGCATAGAACTTGTATAAGCTGTTGTAGCTAATGAATGCATTAAATAAATACTCACAAGCACACCTAGGAGGAAGGTACCGTAAGGTGACAGATCTGTGCTTACACAAATGATCATGAAATAACAGACAAAGCAGGGTGAATAATTGCGTAACAGCAAACCTTCGGAGGAAAACAAAGGTCTTGAGCAAAACTGAGTCTATTTTTACACTTGTGTAGGCTTACTAACCTAACTGAAGAGAACCACACTGAATCTATGTAGACACATAGGCGTGCCTGTGAAATAGCAATATTTGGATCCCACGTGGATTTTCATTCCTTTATTACTACGTCTTTGTATTAGTTGTTCCAAACAACTTGTGGTATTTTCCTAAATGGGAACTATGCTTAGAGGGGTTTCATTTGGCAACTGTTTACTCTTGTGGTGCAAACTTCAGGAGATATTTGATACTCCATTTACTGTAAAACGTGAATGGTGGTATCTCATCACACCCGGCTGATCCATAACAGTGTCTTGACAGTCGCTCCTCTATGAAAATTTTGAGTTCCTTTAATCTTTTTGGTGGGAAAGTTTAATTGTTGGGGAACGGGGTGGGAACATGTTGGGATGCTTATGGAAGATCTTTCAAAGCTATCTATCTGAGCCCAGTCAAAATTCAACTTGTTTTCAGAATGCACCTTTTTTAGAGCAGTGAGGTTATTGCTGCTTGAGTTAGTGATCCACTGCAACTTATAAGCTGATAAATTCATTAAGAGTAGAAAATTCAGGTAATTACTCTCAGGATCACATTGTACCTTGTTGCATTCAGCATACCAGGGTGAACATATCTTTAGTCTCATGCACACACACTTGATATTTACTGGTATTTTAGAGCCTTTATGAGCTGTGCTTGTTACAGTCTAAATGGAGTTTCACTGCAGCGTAGGTTGGACCATGGAAGTGTGGAGGTCCTTTGGAGGAAGACTCAGATGATGTGATGCTCTACTGTAAACAGCTTTAGCTGGCTTTTAGAAGACTGCATTGCAGATCAACACATAATGTCTTGCCATTGCAGCGTAGAAGAGCTACTGCTTTTAACTTTTCTAAACATTGAATGTTATAAATTAATTTTCCTCTGCTGTATTATCTGCATTTTCCAGGTTGACTTTGACTCATTGCACTTCTTGGTGTTTTGTTTATGTTGTCTTACCGCTTGTCCTTTCCCTAGTGTGCCGATGGATCCACTTACTGAAAGAAGAAATAAATTATTTTTACCTGTTAATTTTTCTTTGAAGAAGTGTGCTTCCTAATCCAGGCTTCCCTGGAAGACTTACAAAGTAAGAAGGATATGACTTTAAAAGCCCCAGCTGTTTTTTGTTGTTGTTGTTGTTTTTTTACATTAACCTAAACTACACTTCCTCTCTTTCATGGAAATTTTCCTTCTGGAGTGTTTCTTTTCAGAGAAAAGACTCCCGAGACTCCACCAGCTGCTTTCTCTTGGACAGTCTCGGACAGACCATTTTGACGGTGCTTTTGTTTCCCAGTAAAACATAAGAACACTTACCTATTTGTGGTAACAGTATTGGACATGCTGCTTCGGCGGAAAGAAATTAGGTGTATCATCTCTTGTTAAATGACTACGTCACTATGTCTTGTCTTTGGTTGCATCAGTTATCTCTAGGAATTTTTTTTTTTTTTGAGCTATGTCATGGCACACTTTTAGCAAAGTAAGTTTTTGAGTGTAAGCAATTGGTGAAATACTGTTTTACAGGTTACATGTCTTGCCTGTGACAATAAATCAAATACCATAGAACCTTTCTGGGACCTGTCCCTGGAGTTTCCTGAGAGGTATCACTGCAACGGCAAGGAGATGTCGACTCAGTATCCGTGTCTGCTGACAGAAATGCTGGCCAAGTTTACAGAAACGGAAGCTTTGGAAGGAAAGATATATGCATGTGATCAGTGCAACAGTGAGTAAAGGCAGTATGTACTCATGCATATGTTCTCTGGGTAAAATATAGCGTAAACTGACTGTGAAAGCATGGAAGGAAAATACTAAAAGTCTTAAAAGTATGTTGCAAACAAAGTCCTGGTGTGGTCACGTGACAGCTGTTACCCACCATCTAGAAGATGGAATAGTTCAAAGGACGTTTGAAAGTGTGATGCTTCTCTTAGATAAAGTCTGATCACACACTAATGGGGATTCTGATGCTCCCAGCTGAAGAACCCATCAGCTTTTTAAATTAAGGTGACTAACCTAAGTGACCACAAGTATTTTATACTTGCATCATAAAATAATCCTTGCAAAATGGCTCTCAGAGTGTATCCTTTTTAAGGAGGCACATACAGCAGCTATTTAGGTCCACACAAATTTGGTGGATAAATCTTAGACTGAAATACAAGGCTGTTATCGAGATTTGTATTGTGTAACTGTGTGTTTGGCCTCAGCAAAACGAAGGAAGTTTTCTTCTAAACCAGTTATACTCACAGAAGCTCAGAAGCAGCTTATGGTGTGTCGACTACCTCAGGTTCTCAGATTACACCTTAAACGGTTTAGGTAAGTAGTACCACAACAAACAGTGTTGCAAACTGACCAGTTCAGTCCTGCTCTTCCATTGTTTGGGACCAGTGTTTTTCAGCATCAGTTTCATTTCCCTTTACTCCTGTGATGAGAAAGAGTTATTAGCAACTTCCTTTTCTTCTTTAATGTAAACCTCAGTAAGATGAGAACTGACCTTTTGGATTCCAACTACTTGCTGCTTTAATACCGAAATTATTTCATCCTTCTTTTCAGTCAAAACCTACTAACCTTGCTGGGAACCCTGTTGGTAAAAATTAATCTTGTGTTATCTTCCGGTAGAGTAAATGCTCATATTCACCACTGTACAAACCGAGATTGTATTCAGTGGAAGTCTCATGTAACCTTCATGTAAGCAAACACATTAATGCATTAGCTCCAGGGTAAGGAAGCGGAGACGGCGTCTCTGCAAACTCTTTGTCCACGCATTAGTACAGAGTCTGTCCCGAATACAAAGCAAACTGAAAATGAGATAGAATAAGTGAGAAATATCCGTGAGATAGAATGTGTGGGAAGCACACACTCACCACTAACCAGAACTTAAGACAGGTATTTCAGAAGATGGGAATAGTAGGTACCGTAGACAGATTTTAAAAGGTCTTGAAATAAAGGAGAAGTAAAAGAGGAAGCCTAGAATAAAAGTGTGCAAATTAGCATTTGTTTTGTGCACAAAGACAACAGTGAAGATAACACTTGTTATGTTAAAAGATAACTCAGGATGCTGTGTTCTTTCTTTGAAAAAAATGTTTTCATTTGTCTTAACTTCCCAGGTGGTCAGGACGCAATCATCGTGAGAAGATTGGCGTACATGTTCATTTTGATCAAATGCTGAACATGGAGCCTTACTGCTGCAGAGAATCCCTCAAGTCCCTCCTACCCGACTGCTTTATTTACGACTTGTCTGCTGTGGTAATGCATCACGGGAAAGGATTTGGCTCAGGGCACTACACTGCCTACTGCTACAATTCCGAAGGAGGTAGGAACCAGCTGTGGACTCAGGAGTGTGGGAGAAAGGGGCGTTTGGCACTTCACATCTGATCAGCGTACTGCCTTTTCTCAAACGCAAGAGGGAGTCACTTGTAGGGAATTGCAGTTCTGTAGCCCAAAACAGTTCCATTTTTGTAGTGCCTTGTTAAATGCGTTCTGGCTGTGAACTCTCATAAATCCGAGGAAGCTAAGCTGGGCTTTTAGAATGTAGAAGCAGATAGACTACATCAACTGAAACAGTGTGCTACTTCTACACAACTTGTTAAATGGCACTTGCTAATTAATTATTAAATACGATGCGGCTACCTCAAATCACTGTCCTGATGACTTTTTTTGGTGTATTTCTTCACTGCAGGATTTTGGGTACACTGCAATGATTCAAAACTCAACATGTGCACTATGGAAGAAGTATGCAAGGCTCAAGCTTACATTTTGTTTTATAGCCAACGACTTACTCAGGCAAACGGACGTGGTAAAACACCATTTCCTAGCACAGCTGAAAGTCAGCAGCATGCAGAATCAGCTGACTGTTCCATGGGCGACAGTAGCAGCTAATCCAAAGCCAGTTAACTGTGCGTATGGGAAAAGTTTGAATTGTCAAAACTATATATTTTAAAATGAAAGTACAGTATTGTACTTTTTTTACTTTCAAGCCGTGTACAATGTTTATATACTTTTGTATTAGTTAAAGGACTCTCTACAATTGTTAGCAAAAGTTTTTATTGACAGTGACTTTCTAAGTACCTAGAATTTCAATACAGCTATTTTTTTAAGAAAAAGATTGCTATTTGCATTTAACTCTTACCTCAGGCTGGTTTTTTAAGCTGGTTTTGTATTTTGATAATCTTTGAATTGGTTTAGAAAAATGACTTTCAATGGGCAACTGATGTTTCTCTGGTTAATTTCCTATATATGCTTGTGTACAGTTTGTAGTCTAGTTCTAATGATATCATGATTCTTACTGTCTGCAGGAATTGCTACTAGGTCTTAGAATATTAACATTCACCAGCAAGGAATGTTTTACATGTCGAATAGCAACGGAACTTTTCATAGGAAATTTTCTGTATATTCTTTATGACTAAAGTGAAATTAATTTGCAAGTGTCAAAGGAGCCTTCAGGGGAGCTACACTAAAGAGACATTGATAGAATTTCTTAAGATCTGAAATTAAGGAAATGGAGCTCGTACTTCTTTTCTTCTAAGTATGTAAGAGGGATGTTTAATAGCACAAGAATGTATCTGTACCAACACTTCCATGTTTTAGCCTTAAGAAGTCTGACAAAACTCAAGTGCCAAATCCAAAGTAGTAACTTTGACAACTAGGGGCTTTTTACTCCAATAACTTGAAAAGCTTTCTTTAAAAAAAACACAATAGCAAAACCACACTCGCTTACCCCACTGTCATTGCTACAAGAACGTTGGCACCCCCTTCCTTGCATCGGACAAGCTTGTTTTAAATTGTACCAAGCATTGTCTGTTTCAGTAATCTCTAACACAAACCACTGAAAAGAAGCTGTACAACTTGTATGAAAGCATTTTCACTCTGACTGGTTTCATTAGCTACAACTGCTGTACCTTCTCCACAGTCCTACCACTAGCATTAACAGAACTGTGCACTGGGGAGAATCTAACATGCAGGAATTATCAGTCGTTCTCCGCAGACAGTAGTTAATGCCAAGTAAATTTTAATTGTGAAGTTATTTTGCATAAGTCCTATGCACATTGTTACCTCATCTTCTGCAAAATTTATACCTCAATAAAATGCCTTGATGTGGACAGAAAACCATGTGTGTACTGGAATTAGTTCCTACATTAACATTACTTTTTTTTTTTTTTTAAATTGTTTTTAAACTTTGTCTAACACGGGTTAAGGCATTAACCGTAAGACCGCTGTGGCCATTTGTCGCTGATTTAACAGCTGGCTTTATTTATGACTTTTCCTACCATTTCTGTCTCTATTTCTGAAAGATGCCACATTATAGTGAGCATACAGTGGCCTCAGATCTCAAACTTTCTTCGCCTTGTGCTTATCCTAATGAAGTCTGCAAAAGCAGTTTGGTCTTTTTTTTTTTTTTTTTTTTTTTTTAAGCCAAGAGCCACCTGCTGAATTGAGCTGGTCTGACAAATCTGCTTGTTGTAGCTGTGCTGCCTTTCAGATACTTTCCGTCTCTGCTGTCCTTTCTGGCGAGGAGATAAATGCAGTTTAAATACTTCTTTCTACTTACAGGTCGTTCAGGGGAATAGAAAGGAAGGGGAAAGAGGTG